ACAGAATACCTGGTATTGGCATGAATGAAAGCGCAGGAGGCTACACAGGAAAGTATTCTTGTCCCCCCCTCCCCCATCTCTAAGATTATGGTGGCTAAGGTGGCCCTCGTGTCCCCTAGAAATCATTCTTCTCCATACCTGTACAACTGAACTCAGGAAAAATAAACAAACAATATTTATCACAAATTTCAAACAAATGAGTTTTCTAATTGGACCCTTCTGGTTTTACAGCCAGGAAGGATGACCCAGGCAAGACTTTCTTCATCAGAGACCAAGCCCAGAGACAAGGCAGTGCCATCTGGTGCCACTGCTGGTCTATGGAGCAGTGGCCTCAGGCCTCCTTCCCAGCGGCTCTCCTGCGGCCACAAGGTAGGGTTTGCAGTCTACCCCCTGATCCCAACACTACTCTCACCACGGCCAAGCACAGTGGCTACTCGGCTCTGCACACAGATTGCCAGGTCACGCTGCCCACGAAAAGCATCTCACATTTATCTCAGGGAGGGAGATGCCAAACCTGCTATTGTTGTGGCTGACTTAGAGCCCTCGTGACTTAAGCAGCCAGCCAGGTCATGAGCAGAGAAAAGTGACTGCCCTGATGTATTGCTGGGCAGAGGCAGATTCCTGCCTGGCTCAAGAGTGTTCAGGAAACTCAGGGACCCTCCATGACCCCCCGGTTCACTCCCAGCTATGGCCATTCCACAGCTCCCAAAGGATTCTCAAAAATATCAGGTTTCCAGGTCTGCGCCCAGCGTCACTCRGCAACCCTGGTTCCTCACCCGCGGCTCCCTTTGCAATGCGCACAGCAGCTATTCCAAACCTTCACCCCCTCGAGCCCCCAGTGCCACCTCCTACCCTCTCTTCTTAGCAGATGGTCTTGCCTCCTACTTCAGAGAAAAAATAGAGGCTATCAGGCTGGTAAGCTCTCTGCTGCCCACTCTCTCCCCTCCTCCTCCGCCCCACACTCCTCCGTGCCTGGACTTGCTGCCTTCCTCCCATCTCAGAACAAAGGCCCATCGGAGCCGAACGTTTCCTCTGGGATCCTGGTGCCCAACCTCCTGAATCTCCTCCTGGACTTAATCTAGCAACTACTTCTCTCTGCCGAATCTGCAATCCCTCCTGTTCCATCCCCTRCAAGCCTGCTCACCTGTCCCTGGCTTTTAACACCCGTGCTCTGCTCTGACCCGCCCCATCCTTCTTGGCTGAGCGGGAGAAGAACATGCTGCATTAAGTGTCTCTCGGTCACTGGGTCTCACTTCTCTTTCACCGGACTCTTATCATTGAAGCTGCTCTTTCTAACAACAATAAACTGCCAATCCAGCCAGGTATGGTGGTCCACGTCTCTGATCCCAGCAACTGGGGAGGCTGAGGAAGGAGGATCACAAGTTTGAGGCCAGCCTTGGCAACTTAGGGAGAGCCTTTCTTAAAATGAAAAAAAAAAAAAACAACTTAAAGGCTGAAGATACAGCTCAGTGGTAGAGTACCCCCCTGGATTCATTTCCCAGCAACCACAAAAAAA